GCGAGGGGCAAGTCCCGGAGGCGAGCAAATGTCACTCGGTGGCCGGTCGATGAGCGTTTGATTCCTCACAAGCTCCTGTGACCAACGCAGGACCACATCATCTGGCGTGGCTGCGATGATCCCAGTGACAAAGGTGCCATGGCCGTGTCCGTCAATGGCAGCTGGATTCCCGTCTTCAGCTTCTCGCCGCTAAAATATGCAAGTGATCGTACCACAGGTTGGACGTTGCGTAAAACAAACAAAATAATTGCTACTTATATTATTTTAGTAGGTAATACTTGATTATTCTCGTACCCCGTGGCGTTTCCGAGAGCGAGCGGTCCAATTGGTCCTCTCCTTTATCGTCACAGTACGGAAGTGATTGTGCAGATTGGTGTCAACGAGACCAGTGTCGAAAATTCCCACACGGACACCCTCTCCACAGAATCCGCTGGCCCACGCGTGGGGAGCCGAGAGAAGGAGCCAGGGCTACGTTAGAGAAAGCAGAGTAATTCAAGGGAGTACTGACAGATAAAAGGAGGTAGATTTGATGCCAGGCAGTCAGTTATTTTCGGATGTAGCGGAGGGGGGAGAGTAATAACGGTCGTGGAGGATCCGACCACAGTGTTGAGCCAAAGTAGATGTGCAAATGGATGGATTAGGCCGGATGACTGTCAGGACGATGAGGTACTCGCGGCGAATTCGTCTACTCAAGAGGAGAGAGGATGGGACTTTTCCTAATCCACCCTCGATAGCTGTACTGATGTTTAACAGGTATGAACTCTGTATTTGACAGCGTTTAGGGCCGACTAAAGTGAATGAAACCCGCTGACACAATCGGTTTTCGGGTATGCCCACTGAGCAAGTTTGCCAGTTAACCGCATTAAAAGTTGCCTGTGACATACAGTGCGTGACCGATCTCGTGAAATGTTGGCCAAAATCCTGGAATGCGTTTCCGATTAGGAAGGATTACTCAAGTGGGGTTGTTAGACTGATCACCATACAGGATAACCCTATAATATTTCGGACTCGCCGGGAATTCGGCTTTTGAATGCACTTCTCTGCGACCTCCTGCAGAAACCCCACTCGGTAAAAAATGACTACTTATGTAGCATGCATTGCTCCTATTGATTTTCGATAGCCTTATAAATTCAAATATATTTTGTAGAAAACATGCACAAAAATATGCTTTCTTTTGCTCATTTGGTAGAAAAACAAATTGTCTTCATATTTTATGCCCGAAGAAAGTGTATATTTAGGTTTTAAAAAAAGTTTCCCGATTCCCGAATAATGTTCACCCTGATCTGCCATTGCACAAGCGTTTTGCGATTTCAGTCTACAAGGTGCATGCCTTCCACGTAAGGAAAATCATATATTCCTCTATGCCTTTAAGAAGAGACCATTCAGGAAATCTTGCAATGGATCCAGACTGTGTTGTACATTTTATGAGGAGCATTAGTAAACGGACATGTGCGGTCTTGCATGCATGGACATCGCACGGTCTTAAAAATCTCATATACACTTTCTCGGGCATAAAATATAAGGACAATGTGATTTCCTACCAAATGAGCAAAAGAAAGCATATTTTGTGCATGTTGTCTGTAAAATATGTTTGCATTTATAAGACCATCGAAAACCGATAGGAAAAATGCATGCTACTTAAGTAGTCATTTTTTACCCAGTGTGGTTTCTGCAGGATGTCGCAAAGAAGTGCATTCAAAAGCCGAATTCCCGACGAGCCCGAAATTTTATAGGATTGTGTTGCATGATGATCAGTATAACAACCCACTTAAGTGATCCTTCCTAATCGGAAACACATTCCAGGATTTTGGCCAACATTTCATGAGATCGGTCACGCAGTGTACGCGATTATTCAGCATGTTCGGTGCGGCAGATAGTAAAAGCCTGCAAATCTTCAGTGGTAGGGGATCTACTTCGTTGCGTACACGACAGCCTACATCGCTGGCGCATAAAAACCGCACAGGGTCATTAATCCGACGATGATGCTCGGCGCCAAGGTGAAGCCCAATTAATTCGGCCGGGTCCGTGAACACTGCGGTCTAATTGACGCACAAACACCCAATATCGGACACAGAAGCCTCTCTCCAGGCCGGCCTCCGAACAATTTGCGCGACAGCGACGCTTCAGGGGGATTGTGTTAGGCGCATGTTGACTTCCATAGGACGTGTGTCGTGTGCTGGATTATAGGGATTTGGGAATTGCACGAGGGACTTGGGCAGCAGTGACCTATTTACTGCCATCCTCATGCGCGGTTTGCCTAAGCAAAACTGGACTGAGACGACAGCTGATGAGGCAGGGCTGACTTCGGACTGCACGCGTAATAACAGGATAGGTTTCCCTACCATAACGGTGACAGGCTTCGCACACACACACACACACACAAGGTCACCGATGAGGGAAAGACATTCCGAATGCCCTCATCTGGTTCCACCTGCAGTTGAAGTGGATACCCGGGTGTGCCAACTACCCGCTCAACGCAGCTGTCCGTGAAAGCGTCAGGCTAGATCGGGGTGCGACTTCCAATACAGGGGTAGACCATATCCTCCGGGTGAACCCGGGGCTAGAATGAAGGGAGATACTTCATGGACAAATCCTGTATTCGTCAGTATGAAAGGACAGTCGTCCCCCTCTCTCCCCCCCCCTCCCCCGAAACAAAGGTAATGTGCACTGCAAGGCAAGTTTGCAGCGATGGCCACAACGACGAAGGCTAAGGACAGATATACTACTTATTGCCAGAAATAGCGTGCGGTGGAGATCACAATAGAGACGTGATTTAAGGTCCCGTTAAGGTCAATGGGGTAAAAAAGTGCATAAAAGGAACAGCAGCCATTCATATACCTGTTTCACTTTGTCAAGGGGAACTGTACCGGGCTCCGGAGCGGGTTTACGCGCAGACCGCTAAAATTAGTAATACTGTCTGGTAAGAAAAAAGAAAAAATGGCTTCTTAGCAGATTTTAAATAATTCCTTTTGTCCTAATCGTGAAAAACCCGGTGACATCGGTGGGATTCGTTGCTGTAGGCTGGGCGAGCAATTTGATCCAACTGTGATTGAAGTCACTGCTTCTGGTGAGGCCTCGCAGCTCAGGGCGTTGGCTGTGCGCAAGCCTCGCCTTTGCTGTTGTACGTTTGAATCGCACCCAGGTCGTCAAGTTTTTCACAGTTAGGCCAAAGTGGAGGCGGAAGACGGCAGGAACAAGGAGGTCAAAAAGTTCTGAGCGTGGGTAGAGGGCATGTCCTGTGAATGAAGTCTTAGAGGTGGTCGGATCAATCTCGAGCGGTCGGCTGGAAGTCAGAGAAGAGGGAGCAGACCCAGTAACTACATGGGGCTTACGAGTCTACTTAGTGATGAAAGCTCACCGGGCATTTGGTGAGGTTCAGGACCATTTAAGACAAGCTCCTGATTTTACAACATATAAAGTATGGTCTGGTCACTGGGGTAAGAAAAGTCCCGCAACTTGATACGAGTTTGTGGAAGCTTTGAGAGCTGCAAAACACTCGTTGTGCTTCTGCTTAGTAACTGCAAAGTACTTACTGTGACAGTTGGACGATTTTTTCTTGGTAAAGCACCACCTGTAAAAGAGGAAATAATATGTATAAGTATTGCATAACGGGCATCCCGAGAGATTTAATTTGGAAGTGATTGAATTCTTTGGAAAAATATAACTTTAATTGCACAGATGACCGAGGCTGCTCCCCTAGTTGGTCGTCAGACTATGGGCAATATACAAAAACAACAAAGGACTCGATGATTGGCCGACACCTGTGCCAATACCCGTTAATTGCATTTCTTCGTCCCTTCAGGATTGCCTGTGCTCATTTAAATGTTTTTCTACACCACCCACTGCCTGCGACGAGCTGGAGGATGGATCGGCTGATCCACCATCCCCTCATCCGGCGAAAATACGTTCTAGGACTCCCTCCCCGCCCCTTCTTCCATGCCGCCCTGACTTCATATGCAAAAAACCGTCTTGACATGACTGTCACCCACCTATAAATACTGTGAGGCGCGATAGCACACTCACCTCCGACGATGGAAGCTTGTCTGCTTTTGAAACGTCAGGAGCGTAAAACAAGGGTTTCCGAGATCGCCTTTTCTTCTCATTATACATATATATATGAGATGGTACCGACAAAGACAAGGGAGACCGGAATGGCCATTTCTGGCTTATTAGCCGTCATCAGCCAGTCATACCCAACCCCAAGTGTGGATCACTTGAGACTCGAACCCGGGATCTTTGGTCATGGAGTTTGACGCTCTACCATTGTCGGTACCATCTCATCTATATCTACTACTAGTCGCTGTGCGACTGCCTGCGAGGGTTCTAGTATGAGCCCCAAGGCACAACGGAACGAGCATGTTCCGTAACCTGATCGGTGAGCGCCCACTATCATAACATATATATATATATATAGTGGTAGGGGGCGCTCACCGATCGTTCATACGGAACTCACTCGTTCCGTTGTGCCTTAAGAGCTCTCTCTCGAGCCCAACCAGCAGCCGCACAGCGGCGCATGATACATAGGCAGAATAACATTACCCTTGTCTTTGTCGGTAATGTTATTCTGCCTATATATATATATGGATATAAGCGAAAACGCTGACCCCAGGTGTAGAAATGGAAGAAGGAGATAAGGCGTTCTCTGGGGAGGAACGCCTTATCTCCTTCTTCCATATATATATATGTATATATCAATCAGGAATGGGCGCACACCGATCTATTGGCTTCACAAAGCAAACAAGCTCCGTATGTGTGGCAAAGG